TGGTCATTTCTCGTGGTCGCTTCTTGAGATCATTTCCGTGGTCGTTTCTCATGGTCGTTTCTTGTGGTCGTTTCTCATGGTCGTTTCTCGTGATCATTTCTCGTGGTCAATTTCCCATATTCAATTGAATGGAATATATAGTTTTCTTTATATCTATCTACCATGATTAACCCACAAGGTATTGCTATTCTGTAGGTATGGTTTTATCAAAGAAGTCATGGAAAAATACCAAGAACATTCCAATAAAATTCTCAAGTTACTGGAGGATATTTTTGGCTGGTTGCCGTTAGGAACTGTCATCAATAACAAAATATTTGTTACCCACGGTGGAATATCGAATATTACTGACCTGGAGATAATCAATAGGATTGACAGACACAAGGTGGGTCATACTTGTGCTTTGTGCACCATTTCCAACCTCGTAAAATCCCCATACCCATCCCACAATCAACCCATTAAGACATCCTTAGTAAAGGCCAGACACTGAGGGTGGTCACTACCAGGGTTTCTTTACGTCTTTAGTGGTTCTTTTATACTCCCTCCGCTGCATGGTGAGGTAGTGTGGAGAGACGGGACCGCCAATTAAAGTGGTCATCCGAGCCTTGGTCATCCTTTTTATTGTTTAGTGGCAAATATTTATCAGTTTTTGAATTTGTTCTGCAGTATGTGTCAATCCTAAAGCCTCCAGGAATGAGTGGTAAGCAGAAACCAAGTATGGCTCAACTGATGGAATGGAGACAGGTATATAACAGTATAGATAGATTTTCTTCCGTCAAACATCTTACAAATAAAACCCTTTCAAAATACTACTTAATACTACCTTTTCTGGGTTAGATGAACGGGATGAGAAAGAGATGATGAGAAAGAGATGTTTTCACCCAAACTAGACCACAATGCACCATTTTTGCTATCTTAGAAACGTCTATTACATGCACCGAAACTGAAGAGCTATCTTGTGCGCATTTGTTGTGACTCAGATTTCTATGTTGTGCGCGCAATAACCTATCGTCAATGTTCTGTTAGGTACTTGATTTATTGTGGAGTGATCCCAAGCCTAATCTGGGTTGCAAACCCAATACATTCCGCGGTGGAGGGTGTTACTTTGGCCCTGACGTAACCACACAAGTCTTGAGGAAACACAAATTTGATCTTTTAGTAAGATCCCATGAATGTAAATATGAAGGCTTTGAGTATACACATGACGATAAGGTAAGATATCAACCACTATTTATACACTCTTGGCATATTTCCTTACTAAAGGCTCGATTACATGGGGCAATTTTCTCTGCAACTTGTCTCGCAACAACGTTGCGTCACAAGTTGCAAGGGTGTTTACACGTTGACACGGAGACGCGGTCGTTGCCAAAAATAGAAACGAATTCTACTTGTCGCAGCGATTTACTGCTATTTGTCTCGCAACATTTTGTTTTGAATTGCGCTGTAGGTTACACGCTGCAATGCTCCATGCAACTTTTGTCACAATGCCGTTGCGAGACAGGTTGCAGAGAAAGTTGCTCCGTGTAATCGCGCCTTGAGATGCACCAATTCGGGTAATTCAAGCCTTAGAATGAAACATTAGAAGAACGCTGAAGAGAAAACCCCAACATGCTGCCTGTGGGAAATTGTTGCTAAGGGTCTGGGCACTAGAGAGGGGGAGAAGAGATTGCTACCTGATACTATTAAACAAGAAGTTGGCTAAGTGTACATCGTTGTGCTGTATGTTTCAGGTAGTAACAGTCTTTTCAGCGTCAAATTATTACGAACAAAGTAGTAATAGAGGCGCATACATGCGGATAGAACACGATGAAAAACCATATTTTGTACAGTTTCAAACATCTAGCCAAGACCGAAGACTCACGCTAAAGAAAAGGTTAGAACCAGAGTCTAAGGCTTGATTGTCTGCTTGTACACTTAACTGGATGTATAAACCTACGTCTAGCGGGAACTGTTGCGCGCCCATCTCATGCATTAGCATGCCAGGTAATCTATACTCTAAGAACCTACGACCAACGGGGAAGGCTAAAGGATTGATTGCGCGCGATCTGAAACACTACTTGTCAAGTGGAAGAATTCGTCCAGCTTTGAACCAAAAGCGCGCGCTAAAAATAGTTCGTTTTATAAATATTTTCAAATAATTTCTTAAAAGAGAAGTGAATCTTATCGTCATTTTTTGGCATGTTTGATCAACAGAGTCAGTATCGTTGAAGAATCCGCCATCAGAGAATTACGAGAAAAGCTGTACGCGAACAAACGTTGTTTGATGACAGCATTCGAAGAAAAAGATAAAGAAAACACAGGTAAGAAGAAAGAAAACCTTAAACCATTTTACTCGTACGTACTTGACACCAGAAAAGATAGGCACCTATTTATCAATAACTGTGGAAGTCCAAGGGATAGGAAAATGCAAAGATCATAATGGAGAGTGGTCAGCCACCAGCAGCCATTGAACACRTCAATATTGATAACAGAATGGTGCTAAATATTTTGGAATGACCTATCCCCAGTGGTACCGTCACTCCACGCCAACGACTAACAAACTAGAAAAGTGCAGTAGGTAGAATACCTGATTCACGCAGACAGAATATACACTATAACCAGAAACATTGCACACCAAGTGAGATGTCAGCAAGGAAGCATTAAAGGATTTTATACATTGACTTGTCTTACTAGGTTACCTTACGGCCAGCCAATGGGCCAGTGTAGTGGAAGACACACTACAGTTAGAAGTCCCATGGAACATGGTTAAACATCAACTAGCACGCATTTTACCTGATGGCCGGGTGGACTATGCATCATGTCTGGATCAATACTCAATAGAGGGCAAAGCCGATAGGGTAAGATAGGCTATTGATCGATAGGGGGAAACTAGGGATGCGCACTGCTAATGCGCTGCACCTTATTACTGTGGACTATGCATCATGTCTGGATCAATACTCAATAGAGGGCAAAGCTGATAGGGTAAGATAGTCTATTGATCGATAGGGGGAAACTAGGGATGCGCACTGCTAATGCGCTGCACCTTATTACTGTGGACTATGCATCATGTCTGGATCAATACCCAATAGAGAGCAAAGCTGATAGGGTAAGATAGGCTATTGATCGATAGGGGGAAAACTAGGGATGCGCACTGCTAATGCGCTGCACCTTATTACTGTGGACTATGCATCATGTCTGGATCAATACTCAATAGAGAGCAAAGCTGATAGGGTAAGATAGGCTATTGATCGATAGGGRGGAAACTAGGGATGCGTACTGCTAATGCGCTGCTGCCTCTTAATACTGTGGTATAATCCACTATCACCATCACTACCTTCATCATTTTCTTTTTGGCCCGTTGTAATTGGTCTTTGTTGCATTTGCGTCCCTGCCATTACAGTACGTCATTTAGAAGATAGTTTTAAAGAATTAAGAAACTTTACAAACTCAAAGATATACGCGAGCTTATAATTTGTTGACTGTAACGGAAATACACTAGTAAAGGCAATAACTGTGCACTACTGGACTTCAAATCCTGACGCATGCGCACATACGTTACATACCCTGTTCCCTTTCAATAACATATACCTTCGTTTTGTCTTGCAATTAGAATGGCCCAAGCATCACTGAAGCTTTGTATCGCAACAGATCGAATCTAGAAACAATATTCAGATTGATGGATAAAGATAATTCAGGTGAGAGTGGCGGCCTTGCATAGTATACTTCAGTATACTGCTGCGTCAATCAAAACAAGTCTTATTCTGTCTATTTGTTTCTTGTGCACGTTTGATTATAAACCCTCATCCAACTCTATTTGACTGATCACTCGTGATGATGGATCGTTGATGTTGTTTGTTGTTATCCATAGGTCATATATCTATGGAGGAGTTCGAAGAAGGCTGTCGGCTTCTTAATCAGCATGTTAACACTCAGATCCCTGAAAAATCCATCCAAGACTTGGCCAAAAGTATCGACCTGGATAACGACGGGTTTATTGACTTTAACGAATTCCTGGAGGCATTTCGACTTGTTGATATTAACGTGTCACGGAATGGATTTGCTCACTGAATAAAAGGTCCATGTGGTAAAGAACTGCATGGAAGTAGGTCTCCAATGTACATTGTAAACGGAGACTAAACCAGGACTGCATACATGTCTTCACGGAATGGATTTGCTCAC